TTGATTTATATTGCTTACCGCGACGGCCATTTTCAGTGGAACCTAACACGCTTATGGCGCCGTCGCCGCAGCCGTAGACACTATAAAGAAAATTAATTGGCAACCAGATACATTTTACAAGACAACGTGTGACTACTGACATTTTACATGTACGGAATTTACGAAATATTAACTTACCAGCTTTCGCACCAACTCCGTCGGTGCGGAATTAACAAAAACCTTAATTAGTAGCCGATGTGTTCTTGTAGACTATGTTCTAGATATATGCTAAATTGCATCGAGATCTGTTGAGCCTTTCTGGAGATACCTTCAAACAAACATCCATCCATCCATTCATACATCTAAACATTCGCATTTATAATATCAGTAAGATAGTACTATTTTAATTATTTTTTAACGAAAGAGGTCTGATATTTTAATTAAAATAGATTAATAATTTTCAAAATAAATATATCGTGTTTTTTTTCTTAGGATTTTATAAACTTGTATTATTTACCACTTCTATTAATTTCATTTTAAATAAAAGTGGTTACGCACTTTAACTAACGTTTCAAGCATTAATTTTGATAGAAAAATATTTTATATAAAATTATTTACATAACAATTTAACGTAACATTTAAAACGCAAACAGTTTTAAAGTTCAAGGTAAATCTACAATTTAAAAATAAAATGTATACGAAAAATAAAACACAATCTTTACACAACAAAACAAATAAAATTTTTGTTTCTTTCGTTTATCATTTAACGAACAAATTCTTAAAACAACGACGACAAAGCTTTCAATGAAAGCTTCAATAATTCAATTGACTGCGCTTCAATGTCAATAAATCAAGCTGCGAGCTTCGAGCTTCCACGAAGTTGCAGGAAGGGAATGCATCCTATCGATATGGTCAAAACTACTCGCCTGCAATTAAATTGCAAAACACAGTTAATTAAGTGAATACTTAAGTTGTCACTAAGTTTATATTATAATATATTTGTTTTGTTTTATATTATTAGGTATATTTTTCCCAAATTACAAAAATTGTCGCAAGTATAAAATATTTTGATATATCTGAAAGCATTTAAAATTAATCTTTATTAGTGTTTGAAATTTAAATATTAAACTCTTTACTTGTTAAAGCCAGTAAGTTGATCAAAAACGATTAACCAACTGTCAGTAGGCCAAAATTACCTTCTTCCTTCCTCTTCTTATCAATTAACTTCACTGAATTACGATCTTCACAAATATTACCTACCTACAGTATGTATTTTTGTAATAAATAAATAAGAATTATACTAAAAAAATGTGAGAAATCGTAATCGAGATTTCAAGCTACATTAAATGTGTACAAAATTTTACTTATCTACCATTGATGTGCTCTAAGATGGTAAGTTATCCAAAACGGTGCTCCACATACAAACGTGTTTGCAATTAGTTAGGTCCAGTTGAGAGGCAGGTCTTGAACAGGTCCGGACGTATCTGATCGTTACGCACAACGCAAATACAGGATGATTTAAAATTACCTTTCAAATGTTCTAACTGTTAGAACGAGCAGACAGCTTCTACTGATTTCATTTTCATGGTCACTGAATTAATGTAAATAGAAATATTAATAATAGGATAACATACTTTAAAACTAGAACATGATAACTTTATATGCCTTCCTCCTTTTTTAAATAGGCTGATATCAAATTACATCCTTTTGTTGCAAAAGATGATGAGATATTCTTAGTACCAAAGCATCTTGTCCACGGCTACTATTTCCATTATTTAATAAAGAAATGAGCACTGTCTTCTACATCTTAATTTGCTCTATCCAGGATATAATCGAAAGAAAAACGGATCTAAAATACCTTATATATAAAATTCTCGTGTCACATTATTAGTTACCATACTCCTCCGAAACGTTTGACCGATTGTTATATAATTTTATATGCATATCAAGTAGGTCCGAGTATCGAGTACTATTTTTAATCCCGCGCAGACAGAGCCGTGGACGACAGCTAGTATACATATATAGTTCTTCATATGCAAGATAAAACACAGCTGTTATATTTGCCTATAATGTAAATATGCACGGCAATCGAGGTCATAGCCTTGAGACAAGTAAATAAATAGTTGAATCAGCAGAAAACATTTACGTATATAAATTAATGATGAATAATTAAATCTTATTTGATGACTTTTTACAGACTATTAAGAAAATTGAGCGTTTGTATTTACGTCGTATGTTGGTGCAATTTCCACCACTTTATGTAATTTCTTGATATAAGATGTATAATACCAGGAGCGACTGTTGCTCAGAGGTTAAGAACCTGACTTGTAATCTGCAGGTCTCGGGTTCGAATCCCGCCATTTACATATGGACATTTATCCGATATCATTACGATTAAGGAAAACATCATGATGCAACCTGCTCATATTTACTAAGAAATTCAAAGATATGTGTGAAGTCAATCCGTACTAGGCCAGCGTGGTTTACTGTCTAGTCACCCCTATTAGGGTAGGCTCCGAGGCTCTCAGTGGGAACATATTGACCTGATGATCAGTACCAAAAGTTTCAGGTCTGCTATAAAATGTACCGCCAGCTTATTAATTTGCGTCTACTATAATTCATTTATATATGAAAATAGCATACAAATAAGTAAAAGTAGAGTGGACAGTTCCGAGCATTATAATTTTGCATTCATTCCGCCTGTGACACAATTGTTTAGAGTACACAAATACAGTTATGTCATATTAATTGAAACCGCAAACCTATTCACGTGAGCTAAAAATTACAAATTTTAACGCCAATTATTGCAAATTTACCGTATGCTTTTTTTATTTTCCTCATTTTAATTATGCTCGGTTATTATATCATTGATGTATTCGAAAGTTGATTATTTATATTACACGGTCGTGGTTAAAAACAACTAGGCTGACCACCTGTCACTTTCAAATTAAAACACTTTTTCAATTACGATATTTACTTTTAAAGTTATAATACATACTTCACCTTTTTGAAGCGTATATTATATTACCATAGACAGATATTAAGTTTATTTAGTATACATTATTTAGTGTAATAAAATTTGAACATCCTGTATAACAGTTGAAGACACAATCTTTAAGACTATATATTAAGAGTGCATCGTATGTCCGCGGAAGTGTTTTTGTGCGCACGCGTTTACGGTTCAAAGCGCATACTAGTTACGGTCCACGGCTTTATTTGTGTTCGCTCACTACTACTGCTACCTTTTGTATCGGCCATCTTAATGTATTACTATCCATTGTTTGCAACAATCAAACTTATAGTGAAAAATAAAACACCATGTATATTTAAAAATTACAAGGTTCTTAGTATCTTACTAATGTTATCTTAGTTCTTACTAATATTATAAATGCAATGTTTAGATGGATGGATGTTTGTTAAAACTCTGAAAACGGATCTCGATGAAATTTGGCATTGATGTAGAGCATACTCTGTAAGAACACATAGGCTACTTATAAAGTTTTTTTTTAAATACCTCACAAATAGAGTCACGGGCGACAGCTAGTGCATAAATACAGTGAATTATTTTCAATGATAAAATATTAATTTAATTTTTTTAAATACGATACTATATTACTACGCATATATCTTTGTTATTAGACGATATATTTGTCAGCAACAGCTTTTAATGTTAGACTACCTAGTTCCTATAGCAATGAATAATTAATATTGTTAAATATCATATATTTCCTTGATTTTATATTACTTTTCTATGTTATGTTAGCGTTGAATAATGCTCACGTCTTCCAAGAACTTAGTCATATATTTGTTATTCTCTCATAATGCTTACTAAGATATAATATTAATATACAAATAATCTTATCTGTTGTACAAGTTAATATAGATTTGATTTCATTTCAAGTAAGTAAAGTCAATAAAAATAAAGCACGTAAAGTAATCAGCTATGAATTCTTTGCAACCAAAATATTTGCATTTTAATTACAGCCAAGCATCAATTAAATTAATTAATAATTAAAACGAAATTCAAGCTCACTCGTAAACAATATTTTCTTAATCACAAAAAGTATTTTACGGTAGTATTAAAAAATTTGATTTATGATTATATTCCGTGTTAGAATCGCATTAAACCATAAAGGTAATTAATCCATAGACACAAAGACTCGGCCACTGGTTCCGGGTCCAGGCAGCGCAGGTTCGATGCCCGTTCCGCTTTGCCCACCTCGTGTGAACAACGCCCTATCATTTCGGGAAATTCTCTGGAACTATAACAATGGTTACTATCCTTATGCCTTAAATGGAATCGAACATTGCATTGCGCGGTTTAAGCGGATTGGTAATATATTTACGATGTTTGATTATTTTTTTAACATATACATAGCAATTTTGGAATGTAATGACAATGCTACTAAATAAATCATTTGAGAAAAGAATTAGTATTGCCTGGAAATTGAAAGGATTTCTTCCACATACGGGATGTTGTAACTATTTTTATACATCTTAAATTAAAGAATACCACCAATATTTTTAAAAATAAGGAAAAATTTCGTAACCAACTCTATGTGTCATGACTGCAAAATGATTCCAATGATGTAATGCAAAATGTCACGGCTTCTAATTCAACTCACAATCCGAATAGCAACTCGTCAAGTAAGTTTGCAAATTTCGCCTCCTAATCTTTTAATTAACAGCTCACGTACAAAAAGATTCTCATGATAGAGTAGAAACTGTATTGTTCACATCGTAATGGATTAATTTTAATGTTATCAAAACGTCACAAACATATTAGAGCTAATAATAAATCTATATGCGTTAATATCCCGATTTATGTTAACATAGTATAAATGTGTATTTTATAGGATTCAAACTTTAAGGCAGATACCTTAAATTATGTTTTGAGCAGCGAACGAAATAAAACCCACAATAAAGTCTGGATACTACTGCATCCGCTTTCTAAGTTTTTAAATAAGTTAACCATCGGTTATGAGGAATAATATTAATAAATTTTCTTTGTTTGTTACCAGGTTCAGAATCCCGGGTGCAATGTACTCCAGAAGTGATGGCGGTCACCGTTCCCATGGATGGAGACAGGAAGATCACCTATCTCGACAACCTTAAAGGTAAACTATCGCCGCTGCCCTTTGTCTTGTAGAGATATTCCACTTTGTTGAAGAAGGTAGAATTATGTTGAATTGTATAATAACCGCTTTGGTGTCAGCTTGGGTGAACTAAATATATGTTAGTCTCCTCTTAGTTGGCAGGACATTCATGTACCATTGCACCATTACTTTTGATAAGTATCTGCATGATTCTATTGAAACAACCGATATTATAGAGTAATTATTTGTAAGAATTTGAAGAATTTAAAAAGAAAGCAATTTGACAATCCCTTAGTGACTATATTTAAGTGCAGGAGTATTGAGTTTCACTATCCGATGATCTAGTCTAGGTATAGGAGGGGACAACTACCATTCGAAGTTGTTTTTTGTATCTATTTTACTGCCTCGCCCAACTCTCCTGGCGACATCTAGGGCAATAGTAAAGATTCTGTAATATTCTACAAAATGCACTGGTCCTTTAATATTCTTTCCCGGGAACAGTCTCTCATCAACTGAGCCTAGACAAACCGCAGTTTTAACTAAAAACATATTTCTGTTAACAATTCACATACGCTGTATGCCCTTAGCACACACTTCTCCGTGTTCCTTATGTCCACTGATGTGTTTGTGTGAATTATTGGATATTGTTTGGAATACCGACTTGCTTAGCATTCTTAGAAACTCGTTTGTTAAGGATTTGTATTTTTATTTCTAGTTATTACTTATTTTTATAATCTCTATAAGTTTCTTAATTTACTGAGATTCTAAGATTTGTTTTATCTGAGATTGAAAGTGAAGGCTGTAAGGACCATTCACTTATTGTATATCATTGAAAAAGCGCTTTCAATTTAAATTCCTTCCTTTGACATCTTATAATTATTTTTTTTAATTCTCATCAAAGGATTCAATTCCTTTAATGCTATGAAGTCTGCTCACAAAGGCCTGTCAGATTAGATATACGATCCAGAATTAATTAAAGGAATTAAATTTGAATGAGATTAATATAAGATAGAGTTTATGAAATAATATATTATGAATTACCTCAATCGCCGTAATTGGTCTTGTATATTTGATGAGTTCATCTATTAACTAGTTGTCGCTCCAACACCGTCCGCACGGAATTAAAAAAAAATTAACTAATAGCCTATGTTCTTCCAGGCTATAGAAATAAATTCACAGAATTTATTTTAAAATTTATCGATTCAGGTATCTCTCCAGTAAAAACTTGAAAAGCTACCAGGGACTGTATTATGAATTATTTCCTACTTTATATTTCAATTCTAAAAAAAAATTAATGGTGTCTCTTTTCTTGATATATTCAAGAAATCAATAAATATATTTTCAATTGATTATTCGTAAACGATAAATAGCTCGCTCAAACGCTATTGAACTAAGCAAATGCAGTAAATCCATTCAATCCTGGCAATTCATTCGTCAAGACATGTAGATGCGTCTAAACTGTGCAGATCCTTTACCTTGATGAATTTCATTCTTCAAGTCATCGTTAATTGCACCATCTACTTTATTGCATTGAAAGATTCAATATACAAAAGTGTATCTTGACTTACCTATCCTAATGACATGTAAAAAATGTAGGTCTGATAAAATCTTTTGCTAGTTTTATAACACAAAAACATGGTGTACTCTTTTAGCCCGTGATATATAAAAGTTAGTTTTGGTTTATATGCAACAGTTTGTCTTCTTGCATCTGATTTTATGAATTTAACTTCTAATGTTATTGTAGTTTCATTCATCCATAAATCAGACTGTTCCCACGACACGGGGATCGTGGCAGATCTTTTCTTTCGATTCGAAAACATTTATGTGATATTTATACACGTACGTTCGCTTCCATTGATGTGTCAATTCAGTATACGCGAGGTGGAAAGATTTACAACCAAGCGGGTTACTATTGCTTCTTTACCTTTTTCGTTGAAACCTGACGGTTTATAAATTGTCTAGCTGTTTCCAGCGATTTTCAAACAATTACTGCTATTCATCAGTGTTAAATAGTTAGCATTTGATTCGAGTCTGTATCTACCATGTTTCTTCATATCCATCTTTTATGTCATCCACAGTAATTTGAATTACGGTCAAGGAAAACATCGTGATGCAACCGACATATATTTGGGAAGGAAATTTAAAGTGTGAAGTCAACCAACCCGCACTGGGCCAGCGTAGTTGACTATGGTCTAGTCACCTCTAACTTAGAACAGGCTCCGAGCCCCTCGGTGGGGTCGTATAATGAGCTGATGCTGAATTTAAATAAAAAGGAAGAACGATAAATTTCTTTATTTTTAATAATAAAGATGATATATATTATAGTACTGCCACTTTTTGGGCAAATATTTGTTTTCAACCAGATTTACTTTTACTTGTTCCAGATTACAAACCCTGCCTACCGAATATCGAGAACAATGCTGCGACTTTTGTCCTCGATTTGCAGGACCATCACAAGTGCGGAGTAACCAGAGTCATCAATCAAATTACGGTAACGAAAATATTTTTAGAGCAATTACTTCTAATATAGAGTGAAAACTGTACAAGAGTAGACTGACGAAAGGATGGTCCTAACTGTCACGAAGACGGCGACATATATCGCATTGGTTCTTCCAAAAATCAGCGCTCTTTATTACATTAAAAGTTCTGCCTCAATTATCTTTCAATACTGCAACGAATAATTATTCAGGAAATTATTTTAACGCATTTATTTAAAGTGTAACTTATATTCCAGGGCAGACGTACGTTCTACCACAAGATAATGATAGAACTGGGCGATGGCGGACGAGAGACAGTGACAGTTCGCTGTATGGTCACCGGCAAACCGCATCTACTCGCCAGGCGAGCTGTGGAGCCATTCCCACTAGACTTTAACGAACCTGAGTAAGTAGATTTGCCATTTATTTAAGCTTCACAATCTTTCGATTCAAATACAGTGTAATCCTCTCTAGAACAGAGTAATTTTTATCATACTAATATTATACATACCAATGTTTACATCGATGGATGGATGTTTGACTGAAGATATCACCAGAACGGCTGAACGGATCTCGATGAAATTTAGTATGCATATAGAACATAATATGGAACAACACATAAGCTACCAATTATGTTATTTTTTAATTTCGCGCAAACAAATTCGCAGGCGACCGCTATATGTGCTAAATGTAATTTATGAAATTCTGGTGCTGAAGTAAATTCCTATGGAAATCCATAATATCTTTATTTAACGTAATCACATCCGCGTGTAACGAATTTTAAATTATGGTCTCTCTCTTTCAAAATCATTGCTATCGATAAAATCTCTAAATTTTAATTCCAGTGTCCTAAACATCACGAGATACGAGGAAGGTCGTGCACCAGAACCAGTATTAGGAGCAGTTGTAAAGCAAAATGGCAAACAGTGAGTATTCAATTCCCACAACTAAAGTCTTTTAAGTTATTATTAAATATATCCTGTTGTCCACTACGAGCATGAAGTTCACGTTAAGATAAAAAAGTAGTAAATTAGTGCTTTCAATACTATTAGTTAGTATTGAATCAAGATCTTATTATATTTACTAGTTTGGCCAAGTAATTGGTATTGGATCAAAAGAAAAAGTTTTTATTGGTACTCAAGCAAATCTCTTATTAAGAAGTTGATTTATGTTAGTAAAATAAAAAGATTCTTCTTTTCCTTGTATCACGTTTGCAGGGTGTCTGGCGAGATATCAGTCAGTCCCGGCACTCCGCTGTCTATGGAGATCTTCTTGGACAACTCCTCGGCGCCGGTGTACGGTCTGCTTGTTAGTTACATGCAAGTCACTGATACCGGCAAGCAGCAGGAGACCATTGTCTTCAATGGGTAAGACTTTATCATTGATATTATCTCCATCATCAAAATTGGAGAATTGACAAAATTGGAGAAGTCTGTGGGACGGAAATTAAATCTTAAGTATTCTTTTTTTGAGTTTTTTTTTATGCCCTGAATGATCTAAAAATCTATTTCTAGTTTTCATTTTAAGTTTATAGATTGACAAAGCATATTTAAACACATTTGAAATAATTCCAGTTGTTCTGTGGACCCTTACTTATTCGACAACTTCGTGACGACCGACGGCGACGTGCTCGCGGCCAAGTTCAAAGCCTTCAAGTTTCCGGACACCACTTACGTGCAGTTCCGAGGAACTGTCACCGTTTGCTTGGACAAATGCCAGGGGGTAAGTCCATATTATGATAAACAGCTTACAATTTTACTATTCTCTAGAGACAGAACTTAATTTTACTTACTAATATTATAAATAAGAAAGATTAGATGAATGAATGAATGTTAGTCAGAAGGATTATTGGAACGACTCAACGGGTCTTCATGAAATTTGGCAGGTCAGATGTAGATTAAACATAGTCTGGAAGATCATCTGCTTGTTAAGTTTTTTTTTAATTCCATGCTAACGGAGTCGTGGGCAACAGCTCATTATATTGTAGAAGATAAAACGTTCGATAATGGAAAGAAAAGAAAAATAGGCGTTATTCTAAAATCTATTGAACGATTTATTTCTTAAGATTCTATTTTATAACTGATTAAATGCAATATTCTCTGTGTATAGGTCCAATGCAGTAACGGCGCAATAGGATACGGCAGAAAACGGCGTTCAGTTGCCTCCAGCGCTGACTCCAACAAAGTATACGAAGTATCTTTGACCACGTTCATCAAGGTCGACTGGACTGACCCAGATGCCGCCAGAGACTCGGGTTTGTTAATTGCTAAACAAAATTTAAGAAAAGAATCATTAGTTGTCACTCTGGAAGCACCTTAGTGGAGATTTAACATGAGAACTTTAAGCGAGTTACTTAGCGACCAGTTAATGTCTGAATGCAGTAACAGCGTTCAATAATTTTTTTCTCACCGTTATTTCTCAATTTATAATTCAATAAAATAATACGTTGTTTATAATATTGGTGCCCATTTTTCATAAAAAATCTACTATTAAGGTTCGAAGGGTAACTAATTTGTAGTTGCTATTTAATTCTTGTTTCTTTTCCAATATTCCAGAATATCTGTCGCTATTAAAAAATCTGAAGGTAGCTAATCAGAAGCTAGGAGATATCGACGGCACGCCTGCCACAGTCGCCGAGCACACACAGGACAATAGGCTGGTGATACACTCGACGGAACAAATCAACGCCGCCAATGTACTCACACAGAGTTGCGTACTGCTTTTCATTGGCTTACTATTAGCGTATTATTAATATTACATTAACTATTCATTTATTTTATAAATAAATGTAAATTAAATGGAATGTTCTAGATCCCGATAAAATTTATTTATTTGTATGTTCGCATTTAAATGCAGATTGTGAGAGAGACGAACTTATACTAAAGAGCGAGACATACTATAAATTTGTTGTTAACATTAGAAAACTCTATCTTTATTACAGATCATATTTTGATTTACATTTATTTAAAAATAAATGAATACAGTACTCTAGTTTGTCAAACAGCTACCGAATTTTAAATGAAAAAAAAAATAATTAAACTTTAGACACATTTTATAGTGTATGGAAATCATAAAAACAAATTCTCTAATGACTTTTATATAATTTTTGAAGATACAGAAACTTACCGTGGGTTTCTGAGACCAAAATACATCGTTCTCTCTGTTTTGTCAAAATGACATGGATGACTATATGTTTTATACAAAATTTTGGGCTCACAAACCCACAGACAAAAATTATTTGCACTCTCTGTTCTTTTTTTAATGTGATAAAAAGACAATTAGACTATCTTTATTTGCATACAAAATAATTGCATCACAAATAATTAACTGTTAACTTAATATCGTACATTTTACCAACTACATTTTAATTACTATAAAATGATTAGATTTAAGTAAAAGTGATTTAATTTTAATTTAAGTATACCGTAAAGTTTAGTGCCTAATTAATTATTAGTTAAAATAACAATAATACTAATGCTGACGCATTTAAGTCCGCTAGTCTTAAAAATAAATGGGTTTATTCAATAAGAAATACGTGCTCATTTTTTCTTCTTTTATGAACAAATATACCAATATTGTAACTTTATTTTTAAATCTCATTTCGTCACTGGCACCAATAGGTCAAGGTTTAAAAAAAATCTGGATTACTAGTTCGAACTTTAAATTGGTAAATAGTTTTTAATTTATGACCAACACCGATATCTATAAATGGATAGGGCATTGCTTGGAAATGACTACTTTAACTTCCATCTTTTTAAACGCGTCTATTATTGTTACGTGACAAATAATTCAAATATCAAATAGTCACATAAAAATACGTCATATAACCAATCCATTTATAAATGTTTGCTAAAAAAACAAATTTGTACTCATACATATTCTAACACTGTTTTAACACCGTTACATCTAGTATTTATATTAGCCGTTTGTTTCTGAGACCAAAATCGCTTTGTAAAATATATTGTCATCCCTGTCATTTTCATTGATAAAACAGGGATAATAATATGTTTCAAACAGACATTTTGGTCTCGGTAAATAATAGAGAGCTCGTGGCAGAGATGTTACTTTAAAATACGATCTATATATCCCTTAACTTGTCCAAATAAGAACAAAATGTTTTCCTTTAAATATCCAACGTTTTTGTAACGTTTAATAGAAAGGACTGGGTATTAAGTAATCACTTTTAAGTTTTTTTTTCTGTTTTGTTTTAAGCAAAACTTTCTACATGGTGCTTCGTTATACGTAACAATTTTTCAGTTTTGTATTTTCTAAACTGCTAATAGATAAGATTAACAAATGAATTAAAAATGTACGAAAAGTAATTTACTGTGTTTTTATTAAATACTAGCTGTCACCCGCGACTCCGGCCTCGTGGATATATAAAAAAACTTAATATATAGATAAGTTAAATAAAAAGCAGCTCTTCAAGGCATAAATTCGAAAAAAAGATTAAACAGTATCCTATGTCCATCTCCTGGCTCTAGGCTACTTCCTCACCAATTTTCAACCATATCGGTAAAGCTGTTCTTGAGTTATAAATAGTGTAACACGACTTTCTTTTATATATATATAGATTTCCATATTTCTTACACCACAGCTGTAGAGTAAAAAATATGCAAATTAAAAAAAACAAGTAACATAGCATTTGTTTTAAGGTTTGTAAATAAAGCGAATTCAAAGATTTCAGTCTTTTAATAGAATCATTTTAACTGATCAATCTAAACATACTAATAAAGGAAATAAACATTCATAAAGAAATATCTAATAAATCACAAGACATCTAAAGTTTATTATAAAAACATTATTTCCTAGAAGTATGTGGTTTTCGTAAATTTACATTTTACAAAGGATAAACCACAAATAATTTTAAATTGCAAAATACGATTTTAAATGCTCCTAAAAATAAATTATTCGAATTTATTTCTTAAGTGTTACTAATCATGTTAACGCAGTTATGAAAACAAATACAATCGAACCTAGGTTCGCGAGATTCCAAGGGACTGTGACATTTTTCTCACTTATAGAGATTTTACCAGAGTTTCGCGCTCATGGAGGTTGTCCGTAATAACCGGAAAATGACTCTCCCTTATCCATATTCGACTCTAAACAACATTCGAACAGCAGCTTTGCCAAAAAAAATAAGATATTAATGTTGTCAATTACTCGTTTTCCTAATATTATAATGCCTTAGTTGACAGCAAAAATATTATTATACAATTAGCTTTTAATAAAGACAAAAATATATGTTTTGAATTTAATAATTCTTCTACACTGTTCAATTACAATTAAATTTTAAATTTACTTTTTATAACTAAAACATTAGCAAAAGAAAAGGTTATATACAAAACAGTTGATTTAGTGTATTAATACTTCGCAAATGAAATAGCGTTTCATGTAAATAATGAATATTAAAAGTTAAAATGAAACGATTTAAAAATTACAGGATAGATTACTTTTAAGCTTTTTATTTATTTCAAATCATGTATGTAATGTTCACTCTGGAATGATCGTACGATACGTTAGCTGCCAACACGATTTTTTTTTAACTTTGTCCAAAACCATTTGAATGGGGCCTTGCGGGTCACGCTGTATACAACAATTTGATTAAAAAGCCACAGCGAGGTGTTGAATGGAACTATGGCTTGTCGGACACATAGTCCGACACGGCCTGATTGAAACATTAGCTTGTCGGATATATAGTCCGACATGGCAGCTAACGTGTTAAGATGGTGGATATCTTTTATGATAAAAGAATTACAATCTACATTACATTTAGTTAAAAATATAACAATTAAACACCGGAATGTTTAAAATACAATTTACTTATTGATAATCTAAAGAAACACATTCATAAATCATAAAAAACTTAGACACTGATTTAATAACATTTTAGCTGTATGTTAACCCTTAATTCGACGAAATTTTTTGTAGCAAAAAAACTGTTATTTTTTTGTAAATTCATACTTACGTAATTTTCTCTAAATTATAATAGTTCAATAGATTTTTTTAATTAGTTGTTCGTCACACTGGACACCATCGAATTAAGGGTTAACCCTTTATCGTATTCTGATTATTACAGTAATCATGAGTAGGACAAAGATGACGGGTAAACTTTCGAAATGACGACAAATAAATAACAGCGTTATAGCGTCAATAGCCTAATGGTTAAGGGTACGGATTTCCGATCACGAGGTCGGGGGTTCGAATCCCGCCATTCGACTATTGTAAACCATGTCCTAGCACAAGCATAAAGCTTAGTTGGAATGGTAAAAAAATATTAGTAAATTTACTAAAAAATCTGCTAATATTTAAAAAAAAAAACAAGTAATACTTATTACGAAGTATTTTTGGTGATACATATTAGCCACGTTGACGTCCATATTAGTAATCAACAGCGGTCAAAGGGTTAAACACATGATTAACTAAACAGTGTAACTGGATTTTTTGAGTAATACAGTAATAATTTAGTCGTCTAAAGAATCTATAACGAATATTTACGTGACAGTGGCGAGAACGTATTCAAAATTGTATGATAGTGTACTTTACCTCCGATAGGGTACGCTGTACAAATTTTGTCGATGACTTTATGAAAACGTTCTCACGAATATTCGTGATAAGTCTTTTGAAAACATAGTCTAATAATCACTACTTGGCACAAAAATTACACTTACAAGTAAATGGCAAGGTTTTATGTATTCATTTTTTTTTTAAATAATTACAACTATTTTTTTAACAAAAGGGAAAAAGTAACAAATGGCTACAGTTGTGCGTTTTGGAATACGATTAATAAATATTTTGATTATACTTAATCAAGTTATAACTAACTTACAGAGATAACATTACTTAGAAAATACTTCGGATGGCATAGTTTACCAAAAACAATTATAATACAGAAACATTTAAGTTTCTTCTAAACAAAATAAAACACTAATGCAAAGTATACAACGTAGTTTAAAACAGGGATGACAAACCTTAACATATCAACGTGCAATTTTTCTAAAACATTGTTTGAAAAACAAGGTGCCATCAAAAAATTCATTCTGTAAATATCTGGAACACTCTGTAGTTTAGAGTTCACTCGCTTTCGCTCATAAAATACCGACTCTACATTTTTTTTCTTAGTACATAATTAATTTTGTTATTATTGACGTGCTCAAAATATTATGTCGCGTACCATTGGATCGTCATCCCTGGTTTAGAACAACTAAATTAATAGTAAAATTTAACATAACAAAATTACTATACACAAACATTAGATTTCCACTGTCGGAAACAAAAAGAAACCCCCGTACACCTTATTCAAAATCAAAGCTCTATGTTTTCATATAAGTATGTTAAAAGAAGAAATACAAAATAAATAGATAAATTGCCAGGTAAAAACCCGAATATATATATTTTTTATTTAAAGGACAGTATTATTTTTTATATTTATTCAATTATGAGTCATAGGTATTTAAATCTACTCTAGAAACCTTCTTATAATAATAAAAATGTTAATGGACTACACATCTAGAGTTCTAATATTTATAAATTCATGAAAACTCTTTCAAATCTACAAATTCCTTACGTCGTATCACACATTAAAATAGTATTGAATTCAGTAATATTATAGGAGAACACATTTCTTATTCACATATATTACCCAATATAGGTATAGTTTAATTATCATAGCTCTAATTTACAATGAAAGTCAATCTATTCAAACTATCCTTAAAAAGGCCATAAAACAGAAAACAAATTAAAGTTAAAAAATAAATTAATCTGTAACTTGTTTTTCGGAACCACTCTGCCAACCAGAATCCATTGTGTTAGTGTCACTATAGCAATGATGGTGATTTGTTTTTAATATATCCTCTTTAACGTCTCTAACAGGCTCGTACTGAGAATCTGGTCCTAGGCACTTTGAAGTCTCCGGTTCATTGGAGTACACTATATCCTTCCTTCTATCATCTTCGTCGGAGAGAAGAGACTCCTCAGTGTTGGGAGATAAAGGAGAAAGAACGGGAGGTGGAGGCACGAAGAATTCTGGCTTACTAGAATCTGAACTTGATTGCCTAGGATGATCCTTTGGCAAGTTCTTAGGACTGGTTCTTGGCATACGTAATGGACTAATGTGAGTCCGCGCCTTAGGACTACCCTCTATACGTATACTTGCATTCAAATCTGACATTCTACGGTCTTCAATACGACTCTCGTTGATCCTATCGATCTTCGTATCGTTCAACCGATCTCTGGAATCGATTCGATCCACTCTCGAATCATTTAAACGATCTCGAGAATCGACTCGATCAACTCTTGGATCGTTCAGACGGTCACGTGATTCGTTCACTCTATCAATCCTCGAATCATTAAGCCGTTCAATTCTAGAATCGTTTAGTCGATCTCTAGAATCATTCAAACGTTCACTCATACGAACTTCATTCATCCTGTCACTGATACGAGACTCGTTGAATTTCTCACTGATTCTTGAGTCATTCATTCTGTCACTTATTCTAGAATCGTGCAACCTGTCACTAATTCTAGAATCGTTCATCCTGTCGCTTATTCTAGCGTCGTTCATTCTATCATTTATTCTAGCGTCATTCATTCTGTCACTTATTCTAGAGTCGTTCATTCTGTCACTTATTCTAGAGTCGTTCATCCTGTCACTTAATCTGGCATCGTTCACTCTGTCGCTTATTCTAGAGTCGTTCATTCTGTCACTTATTCTAGAATCGTTCACTCTGTCGCTTATTCTAGAATCGTTCATCCTGTCACTTACTCTAGAATCGTTCATCCTGTCACTAACTCTGGGATCATTTATTCTGTCACACATTCGCTCACTCATTCTCATCGAATTGTTCAGTTGCTCTATTTGTTGCTCTGTTAACCTAACCGAACTATTCAGGTCTTGACGTATTTTTTCTTGATTTTTCATGTGTTTGTCACTTTGTCTTGGTCGACGCTTGGACCCAACTTGCGGTTGGGGTCGCTGTTGTCTAGTTAGTGTAAACGATCCGGTATCGGATTCTGAAGTAGATTCGGGATGATTCTCAATGGTCCCTACGAGTGCTGATACATTTGGATTTATGCAACAGTCCGCCTGAAAGTGAACAGAGGTTTAATTAATCTCCTGGATATTACGGAAATAAATATAAAAATTACGTGTTTTTTTTTAGAATAGTAGAAAAGAATATACCTTAACAGAGACATTGCAACAACTAGAGACATCTGCAAAATATACTTCGGACTCAGCATTCTGATTCACTGCGCGACAGTCTTGCATTGATGCCCTGAAATATATGTATGTATTTGATAAATAAAACTTAATAAACACATAAAGTAATAGCTTTCATTCAGTCAATACTAACCGCATTGGAGAATGTTTGTCGTTTTGAAATCCCAAGTTTTCCTTGCCCTGCTTCTGACAGGAATCACTACTTTGATCTGACACTGGAAATAATAAAAATGTAATATTTTTTTACTGTTAACAATACTGTTGTGGGTCGACATTATTTGGTTTAGTTAGCTAACGAAATCTTACAAGTGACTCACCTTTACTAGCACTCTTCTGATGTAAGCATTCTATAGCGACGTTATCGTCCACTCGACAATCTCTGTGCAGGTTCCCAGCGCTCATACCCAATGACCTAGAACACCCTCTATAAGGTACCAAATGTCCTCTTAGAGTATTAAACCGTTCTGGACCCAAATGGGCCATTTCTGCTTGGAGCCGAGCTATTTCATTTGGGTCCGTTGGATACATTTGATTCATGTGACTCATTTCTGGAGTCATACAACTCATTTCCTGATTCAATCGGCTTATTTCTGGATTCATACGACTTATTTCTGGGTTCAATCTACTTATTTCTGGGTTCATACGAGTCACCTCTGGATTCATTTGGACGTTCGTGTGCATTAGATAGGAACTTCGTGTGCATGTATGCGGTTGGATATTGCCATGTTCATGGACAGGCATAGAATTTCTATGAACGTCTATGTGATGGTGATGAAGCAGGGTAGCAGCTGCAGGATCTTGATGATGAAGATGATGTCTGTAATTTATGCAATGAAGTTAATAAAACATTGTGATCGTGTACGAAATAAGATTCACATATTTCATAATTCAGACATTACTTTGTATCAAAATAATTTCTGTTATGAACAATTACTTCACTGAAGCCAAAACTATTAACCTGCTACCACTCCTTCCTTGTGGACTGTACGGTGGCGGCGGCCCCCACACTCCTGTCTGCGCATCGAAACTTCCACTCGCTTCGCCAAATCCTTCTTGAAAACCTTGCGTGAACCCACTCGCTTGACCAAAATTACCCTGACCTTGACTAAAATTGCCCGGATTTTGAACAAAATTGCCAGGATTTTGAGAAAAATTTCCCGAAGTTTGAGCGAAATTAGCTGGATTTTGGGAGAAATTTCCCGAGTTTTGTCCTCGTTGAAATGGTTGATTGAAATTCGGTGGATAGGACCGTTCGTCATAAGGTTGGGTCTGATTATGAGGAGTTTGGTCGTTTTCACAGAATCCATAGGCGCTATCCCCGGACTGTGGTACGCCACCCATGCGACAACGGGAGCTACAAAAAATGACAAATAAAAACAAAACAATTAAAGTAAAAAAAGATATTTTTATTTTTTCCTATCTATTCTATGTTTAATTGAGACAACGTACTTTTGACTGTTACTCCTTGGCCAAGGGAACCAGCTCCACGGGGAAGTTTTTCGCGCTGCACCGGGATTTGGTGAGTACAAATTACCAATACGACCTGTAAATTAAGTAACAATTAAAAGCATAATTCAACTTTTTGATATTCTTATGTAAATCATCTCGTGTCCTGTATAATATAACTTGTGAAATGTTAAAACTGACCTGGTGCCCAAAAACGATGTTGCAAGCTAAAATCCCACGCTGGTTGTGCGGTGTGGCACTGCGCGCAACAGCTGCAATTATTCTGAAAAGTAAATAATATTATATTATATTAATATGGCAAAAATTATATAAAAAATAATTTACATACTTCAGAACCCTAAAATTAAAATTTAAATCACTTCAAGACATCAGACTGTTTTGAAATTTTGCACACCCTTATTTGTGTTTATTGAAGTAATAAGTATCTTAACCAAAATCTATTTTTATTTAAATGAACACCTGTACAGGTCTGCCCGCAGCCGGTGTAGCCTGGCCGGTGGGCGGACGGTACAGCGACCTGCATCTAAGCTCCAATTGCTCCCAGTACATCTTCTTACGTTCATGACTGAAAATAAAATAAAATAGCGTTAAAGTAAGCTGGTGAAATCTTGACTCAAATTAAATGGCAGGCAGAGAAAGTTACGACTGTTGTTAAGGATGATTTAAAAGAACTTTATTTTAGTTAATTTTTTTTCGCAGTAACTCGGAATGATTATCAGAATTCGTTTACGAATTTTCCCCTATCTGTAACCTAAGGATAAATATTTTAAAACAATTCAGCTTAAATAACCAGGGAACTAAATAGTGACCTGAGTGGTAATGAAGAAGGAAATATCAAAGACTTAAACATGAAAGATCGATTTGTAAGTACCTAAAAACCTTCTTAAGGTTTAAACGGATAACTTGATTCTTGTTACCATAGTAACTAAGACGAATATCTTGAAAGTGACAACGTAATAACCAAGACAACGATAAACAAACGTCGTTCGAACATGAACTTTATCTGAAAGCCATAAGAAAAAACTAACCTGAAAACTATCATAATATGTCACGTCAGTAATGTCAATAGACTTCGTTACTGCAATTTTCTATCGTTTACTTGGATATTTTTATTATTTATTTTTAGGAAATAATGTCTGCATCACAGTCGCATGTCAACAGAAATTTTCCATCGCGATCAATAAGCCAAATTACAAATGAAATAGAAGAAATAACAGACGAGGAATTGGTTAAGCAAGTGAATGATTTAAAACATCAAATAAAAGTTTTGACTTTGGAAAATGAAGTTTTTGAGAGGACTATGTCGAGATTGGACCCTACTTTGTTGCATGGCATTCAGCAAGCGCTGGAATACGCCACGAGGTTAAACAGTAATTCTTCCCTGAACGTCGGTAGCTTTGTTAGATCACAAACATCTCGATTATTTTTCGAATCATTGACCAGTCCATCTAGAATGTTTGCGAGTCCTTCCAAAATCTCTACCAAGCGAGCGGAATCCTCAGCGAGAGTTGGTGGTACAGTAATGTTTGGAACGGGTCCAAAAATAAACGTCCTCGAACGATCTGAAATCGTTTCCGCTGAAATGGAGATTTTGATGGCAAACTTGGAATTAATGCGTAAAAAAGCAGCCAAACAACACGCTCTATTGAAAGCTCAATTAGAAGAACTCGAACTCAGAGTTGAACACATACAAAATTTCCGTGAAGAGTTTTACAAGGAAGTTGTCATTGAAGGATGGGATAAAATAGCGCAGCGAATTCCAGCAGAAATATGGGTTCGATATATGAATGAATGGGTAAAAATTACCGATAGAAAGATCGGCAAATTTAGACTTCGTACGAGTACTTTGAACACTCAGTACAGCAAATTAAAGGGACAGATAAAAATAAAAGCAGAACTGAGTGAACATTTAAGGCCGGTCGATTTTGAGAAAATTAAAATTGAAAATAATGAATGTTTGTCAATCATAGACAAAAAGCTTCAGCAATTGGCTGAACTGAAGAAAATGACAGGAGACGCCAACTTAACATTGAGCATACACAAGAAAGCCTTAATGGAGCAAAACATTTATTTAAATGAAGTCATAAGCAACGTAAAGAGAAAACAAAAGCAAACAGTAACTCTCAACAAAGAGACAGAAGTAATAGAGACTCAAGCTAAAGGTTTAGCAGTCAAATTGGATGATATTAAAAAGTTGAGGAATGCATACGAGGTTCCTGATATACTGGATTATGTTCATGTAAAAGCCGAGATAGCAGACTTAAAACTTAGCGTCAAATTGCTACAGAACAGACTTCGAATACTTCAAATTGCCTTTTCTTCACATCACAGGAAGTTAACTAAAATGAGTTTGGAATCTTGAATGTACTAAATGCTTAAATAACTTTATATAACATTATGTGTTAAATACAAATTAGCTACAGATACGCAAAATCTTTTATTTTTTAACCAAACTCTAAGTTTGTATGTGTTCTCACAAACAATGATCAATATATATGCCAAAATTCAGCGAGATGGTTCTAGAACCAACGTATGGAGCTCGCTGTTTGTTAGGAGGTAACTCTAGAGTTACCTCCTAACAAACATCCATCCATACTTCCAAACATTCGCATTTGTTATTAGTAAGAAGACATCGTTTACCTGAGCAGTTGGTAGGCGAGCATGCAGCTGAAGATGCAGACCAGCACAGCGCTTACAGAGAGCGCAAACACGCCCCGAAGGCACCAATACAGTGCACCGTGCACCACCCCGCACTCAGACACGCCCTCGAACACGCACCGCACTAAACACATTCAATTTAAATACTGTTAAGTCCAAGCTTCTTAAAGAATTAAATAACTGTGGTATTCATGGCATTGAAATGTATAAAGTATTGCTATTTCTTTCACTTTCTATGATCAAACAAAGACAACAGTAGTACATTATGTAGTCAAGTGTCGCAACAATGTAATACTATGATAACGTCTCTACTGAAACGCTCTCTGGCTCAGCCGGACCTGCATAGGCTAGAGTCCAAGGGACAGCGATATTTTTCTTGTTTTAGAGGTTTCTCTCTAAGCAGAGTTTCTCGCTTATGGATGTCCTTAGAACCGCGCTGACTCTGGCTTATTCAGTTCTTGTTTATCTACTTTTTAATGTATTATACTATGATTATGAATCATGCTTACCATCTTCTTCAGTACCGCTATGCGGAGAGTCTGTGGCAACAGAATAACACGTACAAGTTCTTGTTAGCTTCGTGTACTCACAGAACTTTAGTGTCTGCAATCTAAGACAAATTGCAAGATTAAAACCATGTCTTACAAGTTAATATAGCAGATTTTTATGCATGTGTTATACTCACTTATTCATATGAATCACGGTAGTTGTTATTGTGACCAGCACGCAAGTTAATGCACATACCAAACAGCAAGCGCCTACCACTTTTATCTGAAAAAAATAAAATACGATTAATATTGTCCTTGTCACTACTGTAAATCTAAGATGGCACATTGTGCATACATCATTTATCACACAAAATCATAACAGACGCCAACCAAGAGATAAATGTTTGGATTTCAATTATAAGGTGTCAAAGAAACAAGCGGCCACCTAAATACGCTAAAATAGCGAAGCGACCGGTACCCATAGGCATACGCAATTGCAGATGCGTTTCCAAAGTTTGATTCTTGCATAAATTAGTTCTTTAAAACAACTGAAAAACTTTATAATAATAAAAGTAAGCTGAACTAATAAACATTTTTTATTCAATTAATTTTCAAAATAAAAAAATTAAACATTTAAAAGAAGCAAAAGCGTCACATACTTTTCTTACCATATAGCTGTACCGATTTCTGCGCCGCGCCAGGCTCATTATACAAACACCAGTTAGCACCAACTGAAACCAATGAAATTATTAAACAAGGTATCAGAACTCTAACCCAAATGCGACAGAACATGTCGAGAAATCTCCGAAATAGCGAAGCGACCACTGCCCATAGATATCCGCAATTTCAGATTCTTAGCCGACTTTTAATCGACAGAGGAGGGGACTCAGAAGAGGATATTTCCCCTATCTACGCAAAGGAGGGGTCCTTTGTCAAATTCATTTTCGCTTTCCATCCTTTTTTTATAAAAAGAAACAGTGGGAAGGGAAAAAAGACTAAATATGTACGTACCATAGCGGCAGGAACTGCTGCCGGCACGGTCTCCAGATGCTGTGGCGAGGCTGTGTAAGCTCGCAACAGGATGTGCTGCGCGGCCAACAGTCCGCCCAACGCAGCCGCCAGGGCACCGCAACCGACGCACCACCACGCGTACTTACGACGCCGACAGGAGTTGTCGGTTCCATTACAGCCCACTGACGCTGCAAAAAACACTAATTTTAGTTGATTCTGACACAGCTCTGATGTTAGGGTTGACATAAATAGAAACCTTGTTTCTTTTTTTAACAGTAGAATTTGACCTCCATAACAAACATACTGTAGTCATTGTTTTGATACAGAGACAACCTGTCTTTAACAAGTATCATAGCACTGGAATTCAACGGTTATGTTTATTTGATTATCATTTGTTTTCTTCAACATTTTCAGTACTACCGACTCGCCCTGCACGTTCGCTTTAAATCGTAGCAGCGTTGAAAGTGTTAAGTAGAGTATATTACCAGGTTAAAAACTTCAATTACCGAAGTAAGGTGGTGGTGGAACATAATGCTGGGCCACATCAGCCGCTATCGTAGCCTGTGGTGTCGTCGACACTTGATATTGTAAAACTTGCATAATTCTACACGTTTGCATATCCTTTATTTATTTATTTATCTTATTACTATACTTCATAAGAAATATTAAAACAAAAAAAGATAGTAAATTATCAAGTCCTTTTCTTTATCATATTGATTAATTATTAAGACACTTTTACACAATGTTTAAAAACGTAGTAACGTTAAAACAGAACTTAACATTCGTATTACGCGCCATTCCTTGAATCGATTTTTATTCACAAACAGGGAGAACAATGACCTTTTCGTACGAAACAAACAATCCGAGATTTCTGAATTACAAACATCTTTTTCACATAAATATTCACAATAAACACTAATAATAAATCCGAATAAATGTGTCACACATTATAATTGCACGAAATTATTGAATAATTACAATTTCCCTCCATTATTTATGTATACATTGCAATTTACAATAAATGTATTCACTTATCACAAACACTGGCACATAAATTACATCGTATTAAAAATAAAAAGACAAATAATTTTTAAAAAACAAATATTGCTTACATAGATTATTAATACGTTTACGAGTGACGACTAGGTTATGTCTGACAATGGCTAAGCCGCGCAGAAGCAATGCGTACTTTACGAGTCCGCAGGTAAAAAGGTCTTAAATTAAACGTATCAAAATGTGACTTATGGATTTACAATGTATGTAATAAATTTATGTGGGTATTCATTGAATAGAATTGTCCAAAACTTGTATAAAATCTTGACATGTTAAAGAATTTGGGTTAACAATGGTATGAAACAGGTAGTACGTACGAAACTTTTGTTATTTTTTTGAAACACACCTGCGTTTCTCACGAAGAATCAATGGTTATCGGTTTTTAGATCGAGGTTTTGACGTGAATTTATTGTGCAAGTTTATGTTGAAGCGGAAAACATTAATATGTGCTATCTTTAGAAAATTTTGTTTAAGAAAATTATCAATGAATAGCAAAAGAGATCTTTACAAATATTTCTGGTGGGATAAATATATCGACTATCCAAAATTCAATTATATTGGTATAGGTACAAATTGCTTGAATACTAAATACTTATGTGTCCCACAAACTTGTATAGGATTCTATTCTAAGACGCTGCTACTGTACACTTTAAACATATTATTTCATTACACGATAAAAATAAATTATTTATTTATCACTTCTAAAATCTATCTTAACAACGATAATATCTATTAAGATTTTTTTCATGTTTATCAAAGGAATTTCAGATTTTCTCTTTCCTACTAGTATCCAAAGAGATAGGAGATAGATAGAGTAGAAAAGAGAAAATCTTAAATACTGAAAAGAGCTTATTCTTTATAATGTTTTCATATTATAATGATAAATATTCTGATTATAATGTTCATATCGAAGAACTGTCTATAGAACACACGATAGTGAAAGCTTACAAAGGCGTATTAAAAATCCTGAACAGATTACTTTCCTAGACTAAAGAAGTCATCAACATCACTTACTAGACCGTGAGATAAATGCTCAATTGAACAATCTGTGAGACCCTTTGTTTAAGCCTGATATTTAATTATAACTCCTTTTTTCTAAAGCATAAAGTCAAATTTCTTTTGATAGACTCTATCAGGAGGCGAATAATCTAACTCTATCTACACTTGTTATACAATAATAGTTCTTATTCTCTGAAGAATAAAGTCTACAAACCATTGGTGCGTCTGTTAGTCGCTGCGAGCACACTTGTGGGCGGTCGCGGGGGCAGGGCTGGAGGGGTGTCCGTCTTGGCGGGCGGCGGGGGACCAGGGTCATCCGCGCATGCATACTGCGCATTCGACGGCTTGCATGTGCACGCCACTTGGTACTGTAAAGATATTTGACAGTTGACAATACAGATATAGAAAATTCTGAACTACTACTTCTCGTCCACAATAACATGGAACCTGGATCTGATGACGTTACTGTCTAAGATATTAATCAAAAGAGGATAAGTTTACTTTCGCAATTTGCCACGCGTTGCATTTAACATGAAATTTCGTGGGTATTATATCGTCTTATAAGTAACTTAGTCTAATACATGATTAATGCATCTCAAGGCTTGTATTACTCCTTAATTTTCTCTAAAAAACTAAATTTTTGTGACATAGAGTGCTAACAAACCTTATGCAAGTCTGATGTGACGGAGGCGCTAGTGTCGCACTCAGGGCAGGCGTCCGGCGCGGGCGAGCTACGCGCCGACCTCACGTCCGCTAGCGACATCTCGCGCCGCTAACTGAAAACATTAAAGTCCATATTGGACATCATCAGAAGACTAAAAAATATATATGTTTCTGATGTAGTCGTCAGTTTATAAGTATCCCCACCGAGGGCCTCAAGCCACCCTCATTAGAAATGACTGGTTCCAGAGCGGATTGGTTGACTATTGTATGGTGTATTGCTTTTGAATTCAACTCATTTACACTCAGCTTTTTGTCAATCGCAGCAATTTGCATATGAAAAGGCCACTGAAAGTTTTGAACAGCACGGATAAAGTTGTTTCAAGATTTTAATGATTCACAAAGTACTAACATCCTATCGTAACTATTTTCTCTTCTACTGACTATAAAACATCATAAGTGTTAAAAAAACCAGTTTCTCCAAGAACGATAGCAAAATAAAACTTCCTTGACCATTAACTATCGAGCCAATCGATAAAGCGATTGAATTCCTTGTT